AAGCTATCTACACATTCAATGCAATCCCAATCAAAATTGCACCAGCATTCTTCTCGAAACTAGAACAAGCAATCCTAAAATTCATATGGAACCACAAAAGGCCCCGAATAGCCAAAGTAATTTTGAAGAAGACCAAAGCAGGAGGCATCACAATCCCAGACTTTAGCCTCTACTACAAAGCTGTCATCATCAAGACAGCATGGTATTGGCACAAAAACAGACACATAGACCAATGGAATAGAATAGAAACCCCAGAACTAGACCCACAAACGTATGGCCAACTCATCTTTGACAAAGCAGGAAAGAACATCCAATGGAAAAAAGACAGTCTCTTTAACAAATGGTGCTGGGAGAACTGGACAGCAACATGCAGAAGGTTGAAACTAGACCACTTTCTCACACCATTCACAAAAATAAACTCAAAATGGATAAAGGACCTGAATGTGAGACAAGAAACCATCCAAACCCTAGAGGAGAAAGCAGGAAAAGACCTCTCTGACCTCAGCCGTAGCAATCTCTTACTCGACACATCCCCAAAGGCAAGGGAATTAAAAGCAAAAATGAATTACTGGGACCTTATGAAGATAAAAAGCTTCTGCACAGCAAAGGAAACAACCAACAAAACAAAAAGGCAACCAACGGAATGGGAAAAGATATTTGCAAATGACATATCGGACAAAGGGCTAGTATCCAAAATCTATAAAGAGCTCACCAAACTCCACATCCGAAAAACAAATAACCCAGTGAAGAAATGGGCAGAAAACATGAATAGACACTTCTTTGAAGAAGACATCCGGATGGCCAACAGGCACATGAAAAGATGTTCAATGTCGCTCCTTATCAGGGAAATACAAATCAAAACCACACTCAGATATCACCTCAAGCCAGTCAGAGTGGCCAAAATGAACAAATCAGGAGACTATAGATGCTGGAGAGGATGTGGAGAAACGGGAACCCTCTTGCACAGTTGGTGGGAATGCAAATTGGTGCAGCCGCTCTGGAAAGCAGTGTGGAGGTTCCTCAGAAAATTAAAAATAGACCTACCCTATGACCCAGAAATAGCACTGCTAGGAATTTACCCAAGGGATACAGGAGTACTGATACATAGGGGCACTTGTACCCCAATGTTTATAGCAGCACTCTCAACAATAGCCAAATTGTGGAAAGAGCCTAAATGTCCATCAACTGATGAATGGATAAAGAAATTGTGGCTTATATACACAATGGAATACTACGTGGCAATGAGAAAGAATGAAATATGGCCTTTTGTAGCAACGTGGATGGAACTGGAGAGTGTGATGCTAAGTGAAATAAGCCATACAGAGAAAGACAGATACCATATGGTTTCACTCTTATGTGGATCCTGAGAAACTTAACAGAAACCCATGGGGGAGGGGAAGGAAAAAAAAAAGAGGTTAGAGTGGGAGAGAGCCAAACATAAGAGACTCTTAAAAACTGAGAACAAACTGAGGGTTGATGGGGGTGGGAGGGAGGGGAGGGTGGGTGATGGGTATTGAGGAGGGCACCTTTTGGGATGAACACTGGGTGTTGTATGGAAACCAATTTGACAATAAACTTCGTATACTGGGGGGGAAAAAAAAAAGGAAAGAACGAGACAGACCGGACATTCTCTTTGGGTCTTCAGGCGTCCAAGAACAGGGGCTCTGGGATACCCCTTCCTGCTCTGACCAACCCGGGAGAAGCCGTGGTGGCAGGGGTGACCCTTTTCCCCATCCCTGGCAGCTTGTTGGGCCCTCCCTGGGGGGAATGTTGGGAGGGCCCTAAGTAAGGCTCGAGGTTGTGATTCACAGAGTGCACTCCGACAGGCCCTAGGGTGAGGCTTGGGTCTTCCAAGTCACTCCCAAGGAATTTGTCACTGGGCGTGGGACCAGTGTGCAGAGCAGGCCAAGATCAAGTTAAGTAAGAACTGAGAAAAGGACCCACTGGGCTGGCCAGTGGATGGTGCTCTGCTCAGGGCTCCTTCAATGTAAGTACTCCACCTCGATGCTGCCCCTTCCCCCGCCTGCCCTGCCAGCTTCCACATCCAGCCCTGCCCACTCCTTTCCTTCCTGCCACACTGTTCTGGACACTTATGTGCAGCATCTACCAGCTTCTGGCTCAGGGGACTATACCCCAACGTCCTATGTCCCCTTTCTGAAACGCCTGCTCCTTAGTATGCAATGCTGGGGCCATGGACAGGGCCTTGGATGGGGTCAGGTGGTTCCTCCTCTCCTGCCAGCAATCTCAACTCCCCTGGTCTCAGAGGATAGTTCCCTGGTCTGCTGGAAGGTGAGTTCATTCTCCCTACTCCCACTCTGTCACCCTCCACCTACCTACATGGCACTCCCGGGACAGCCCTAATGCTTGCTGGAGATGGGTGTCGTGGCCACACACAGATCAGAAGCAGAGGTTCACAGCATGGTGAGACCAAACAGCTGAACCCAGGACCTCCTGGCCCAGGCCTCATTCTAGCAAAGATGTGTGAACTGTCCTCAGCCAGGCCAGGAGCCTGCCCTGATCAGGCAGCCCCGCCTGACCCTGAACTCCATCAACTCAGTGACCTGGCACCCTCCTGACTCCAGTTACTCTGAGTAACTCTGAGTCCGGTTACTCTGGCTTAGCCATACCCATGAGAAGACCAGAAACCATCCCTGGCCCCTGGGGCTCCCAATCAGGAGGGCTGCCCTGCTGTTGTGAGTACATCCTGCAGCTTGGTACCTCCATGTGTCTGCTGCTTGGACGGCTCTCCCCTGCCCGACTGACCTGGGGGTGGGAGGGCCCAGACTTCAGAGTCTCATGCATTGTCCCCAGCCCTTCTTGCCTGCCTGAGTGGGGTTTGTGAGCCGGGGAGCTCTGGGGGTGGCTGTCTCACAGGGAAATGCGTATGCATCAAGGAGCTGTTGGAGAAGGCTTTTCTTGATCTTCTTGTTAGAAAAATGTAAGGGGGTCACGACACACCCCCGTCGTCTTCACCAATCAGAGCACAGAGTCCACAGCAGCTGCCCCTGTCAGGAGGGTGCTACCCAGCCCCGTTAAAGCGGCCTGTGTGTTGCAGGGGACAGAGCAGGGTTCCAAGTGGGGCAGAGCCATGGTCCACACCGAGTTCCCCATTCACTGGGCAGCTGGAGGAGCGCTACAAAGGGCGCCTGTGCTCTGAGGCAGTGAACCAGCGTGGGGACCTGGGGACCCAGAGCAGCGGGCGATGGGCTTTCTCCCTGGCAAGGGTCAGTGGGGGGTGGTGTGGGCCTCCAGCCACATCTGATGACACACAGTCCCCTGAAGTATTCTGGGAGAGGCTGCAGAGAGCAGCTCAGGGCAGGAGCAGGAGTGACAGGAATCCAGAGTGCAGTGTGACTCAGTACAGAAGGGCTGCCTGACTGTGTGGCCCCCAGAGGCCCTCCAAAGGTATGCATTCGGGGGTCATCAGGAGACTGGATAAGACCTCCTCCAAGGTGTCTTAGCACCTCTGAGGCTCTCTGTTGTGGCAGCTCTGCGATCTTGTGAGAAGCCTAAGATATAGATATGAAATGCGCCGACATGGAGACTCTCCCAGAGCATTCATGCACTGTAAGATCCCATGGGACACGTGCTTGTGAAAGGCAGAGTATGGGGCTGGAGCACTGGCAAGCTGGAGCAGGAAGCGTCCAGCCCTTTCCCTGTGACCTGCCTCTCCTGCCAGAGAAGGCCGAGGGTTCCAAAGGCCAGCTCCAGATCCTCGCTATACCCCAGCTCCTTGGTCTGTCATGTAAGCATCAGGCCAAGACAGATCAGGAAATTCTCCCAGAATACACAGGATGCAGGGAGGACCCCGGACCCTGCCACCCAGCCATGCAGGCCATGTCCCTCAGTGGCCTTGGCACTTTCCCGGTCCATGGCACCCTGCCCCAATCATGCTGGACACAGGGCCTTGGCACCACCCAGGGAAGGTGTGGCAGGTCAGTGGTGCAAGTACGCTGCCTATCACACCGAGGTAAGAACGCAGACATCAGAGTCCTCAGAGCGGGCATCAGTCACCTGGTTTCCAAGGTCTCTGGTGACTGGCCACGTTGGGCAGGACTCAGGGTCTCCTCCCCACTTGTTGTTCTGGCTGCAATCTGTGGAGGATCCCTTGCCTACCCTGGGCATACCACTGGGGTGGGAGTCAAGAGGGCATGGGTAGGGGGTTAAAGGAGCTGTCATCTCTGATGCCTGCGTGCAGCATCTGCTTACTCCTCCAGGGTGAGGACGGGGCTCTTCTTCCTTGGAGCAGAGAGGTCTGCTCCCAGGTGGCCAGTCCCCACCGGGTATTCCTGGCACACCACGGCAAGCCAGAGCCATGCATTGCCCTCAGGAGGGGGTTCCAGTCTGTGGGAGACAGGCCAGCCACCATACACCAGGAGGCCTCCAAACTCCCTCCACTGGATGAGGCCAAGTGTCTAAGGTCTGTGACCGGCTAGAGCCAGCCTTAATAATGCATGCATGAGGCAAGGCCTGTGTTCCCTAGCAGGATGTGTCATGCTGGGTTGGTGCTTGCCCCTTCCCCGGTCCAAAGGCTCTTTAAAGCAACGCCCACGCCCACGCCCACGAGGAACCTGACAGGAACCACCATCAGGGTCTTCTCCAGATTGAAAAGCAGCAGGGGATGGAGCTGCCGAGCCTGGGCAGCTTTTGCAGGAAAAAGGAGGGCCCTTCAACATCACCAGTGGCTCTTAATGGCACGCGGGAAGCACGGGGCTTGGCTGCCAAGTAAAAGTGCTTCTGGCCAGGGCTCAGACCAAAGAAGCATCGCCAGAGTGCATTTGGGTGCTGGGTCTGGGAAGTAGGACCTCGAGGAAAAAGGACTCACTCCGACTCACTCCCCTCCCTCAAGCTCTTGCCAAAAGGCTCCTTTTTGCAGCTATGATAGCTCACGGCCACCCACGGGTGCTGGCGTGTCCACCCATAGGTGCTCTTGCCTGGTGAGAAGCTGCACGTGGCTTCCTTAGCAGGACACACTGCTGATGTGCTAAACTGGTCCTCCCACTGGACCTTCCCAGGCAGCTGTGGGCTGCAGGTGGAAGATGCCTCTTGCCTCCACAGCAGCCACCAGCCCTGCCTGGCTGTATCACACTGCAACACAAGTAGGACAAAGTGGTGATTGCCAGGCTTCTTCCCCAGGGTTTCTCCCTGGGGGTGGGGTGGGGGGGTCAACGTGCCATAAGCCCCCATAAAGTGCTTCCTCCAGGCCAGGAGGGAGGGCATGGGCCATAAGCATTGAGTACAGAGGCCCAAGGAGCCACCTGGAATGGGGCAGAGGCGTCCTGGGCAGGTGCTGGCCAAATCAGGGCCCAGGAAAGCAGAGAAATCTGTAGAGCTGGGGGTGACAATGGGCATTGTGAGGGTGTTGCTGGGCTGGTGTCCCCACCTGCATGCTGCTGGGAGGAGGACCAGCATACTGGGTATGGGCTTTGCTGCCAAGACAACGTCACAGCTCTGCCAGACCCCCTGCCCAGGGTCTGGGCCCACAGCTCCCACAACAGACACTGGTCTTTTTTTTTTTTTTTTAATGCATTCATTTATTTTTGAGAAAGAGAAAGAGACAGAGCACCAGCAAGGGAGGGGCAGAGAGAGAGAGAGAGAGAGAGGGAGCCACAGAATCTGAAGCAGGCTCCAGGCTCTGAACTGTCAGCACAGAGCCTGACATGGGACTCGAACCCATGAACCGCGAGATCATGACCCGAGCTGAAGTCAGATGCTTAACCGACTGAGCCATTCAGGTGCCCATAACAGACACTGGTCTTAAGCAGGGGTCCAACCAGAGCACCTCTGAGGCCTCAGATGCCCTGTCCTGGGCTGCAGGACCAGCCGCCCCGAGGTCTGGAGCAGGCCTGTCTCAGGTACCCCATCCATACGCAGTGAGACTGTTTTGGCTGCGTTGGGTATTCAAGATAATTTTGAGGATCAAAAAACAGAGACTGTCAACAACAAAAGACAACCTAATTCCAAAATGGGCAAAGAACCAGACTGATGTTTCTCCCAAGAGGAGCCAGCCTGAGATGGGGGCTGAAGATTCCTGAGACCTACCTGGTCCCAGGCTTGCAACCCTGGCCCACACACACAGCCTCCTGTGGGCCTCCCTGCATTCAGCCTGGCCCTCGGACCATTTTTAAGTTTATTTATTTATTTTGAAAGAAAGAGAGTGAGTGAGCAGGGGAGGCAGAGAGAGAGAGAGAGAGAGAGAGAGAGAGAGAGAGAGAGAATCCCAAGCAGGCTCCATGCAATCAGCACAGAGCCCAACTCGAGGCTCAAACCCATGAACCACAAGATCATGACCTGAGCTGAAACCAAGAATCAGGTGCTCAACCAACTGAGCCACCCAGGTGCGCCACCTCAACACATTTTTTTTTTTTAATTTTTCAACGTTTATTTATTTTTGGGACAGAGAGAGAGAGCATGAACGGGGGAGGGTCAGAGAGAGAGGGAGACACAGAATCAGAAACAGGCTCCAGGCTCCGAGCCATCAGCCCAGAGCCTGATGCGGGGCTCGAAGTCACGGACCGCGAGATCGTGACCTGGCTGAAGTCGGACGCTTAACCGACTGCACCACCCAGGCGCCCCTCAACACATTTTTAAAGAGCTTTCTGAGGACCTAACCATTCTGGCTTCTATCCATACATCTCAATGTCAGGCCACACCCCTCTTGCCATACTGAGCCCAGGCACCCCACCCACCCCTCTTGCCTCCTCTCCCCTCACTTGGCAAGATCCTTTCCATGCCTCCTCCCTTAAGACTCATCTTGGCACCCCCAGTCTTGGCTGGGATCCCCCCTCCCTTGCTCCCTCTTGGCATCTCAGTGTACCTGCAGTTGCTGGCACACAGCAAGTGCTCTCAGTGAGAGCTGAGTGGGAGAATCAGGGCAAAGGGGCATTCACAGACAGAGAGGCTTGGGCTCCTAACTTTGTCAGACAGCAGGACAGACAAGGGACCCCGTTTGGGGGAGGGATGTGGGTAGGGCCTCCTGGAACCCCAGGGAGGACACAACTGTGACAAGGAGTGGGGTACACCAAGAATGGAGAGGGGCTGACAGCGGTGGTCTTGGTGCCTTTGTGGTGGCCAGGACAGCATTCCAGTCCAGGACAGCCAGGCATTTGATACATGGCCTACAGCTCCAGGCTATTCCAGAGGGCAGATGAGTAAACAGGAAGTGAAGTTGTGTCAATACCTGGGAGTGGAAGGAGACTGGAAGTAGCCAGAGTTATGGGGGACAAGTATGCATGAGGCCCCCCACGGCCTCCTTCTTTACCCAGCAAACTCTAGTCCTGGTGCCCACTTTCCTCCACACCTCGCAGGTCACTGTTGAGAGGAGAATGGCATTGGGCACAAACCATCTGTCTGAAACAGAGATGGGATCTTTCCCAGCCCCACAAGGTTGCTGGAGAAGCTCCCTGGGTGCAGAGAATAGGACAGTGGCACCAGCTCACCCACAGGACTGCAGCCACGTGGTTGCCGGGCCTTGTCCATGGCATAGAGAACGTCTTTGATAGCTGATGCTTTTTGAGACTCAGATGAAAGAGAGAGGCACACAGATGCTGTGGATGTGTGGTATGGGACAAAGGTTGCCTGCAGGATGTCAGAGCCTTGGATGGTGAGGCCCCGCAGTGAGGAGGCCAGGGAAGCCGTGGGCTGCGCTGGCCACGTGCAAGGACTCACGGATTTGCCCTGTTCTCCCCTCCCAAGATGGCCCTATGAGTGGCCATATGAGCAAGCCAGTCATCAGAGTTTATGTGTTTTTTGTTTTTTATTTATTAATGTTTATTTATTTATTTTGAGAGAGACAGAGAGAAAGCATGCACAAGCCAGGGGTAAGGGCAGAGAGAGACAGGGAGAAAGAGAATCTCAAGCAGGCTCCATGCTGTCAGCTTGGAGCCCAATGGGGGGGGGGGGGCTCGATCTCACAAACCGTGAGATCATGACCTGAGCTGAAATCAAGAATCTGACGCTTAACCGATTGAGCCACCTGGACATCCCTGAGTTTACATGTTTTTAAAATTAAACTTGTTATCTTGAGACAGAGTTGTAAGAAATAATACAGCAGTGTCTCCTAATTGTAACATCTTGCAAAACAATATTATATATCACAATCCACTCCCTATAATCCCTGGGAACCTCCATCTCTATAATGTTGTCATTTTATGAATCTCACATTAATGGGATCATATAGTATGTAGCATACAGGGATTGGCTTCTTTCACTCAGCGTATTATTCTGGAGATTCATGCAGTTTGCTGTATGTGTAGGTACCTCCTTCCTTTTATATATATATATATATACACATATATATTGCTGAGTAGTAGTATGTCTGCGTTATGGACATACCAAAGTTTGTAGCTAATACAAATATAGCTGCTATGAACATTCACATGTAAGTGTTTGTGTGGATGTAGTTTTCATTTCTCTGGGAGAAATACCCAGGAGTGCAATTGCTGGGTCCTATGATAATTGCATGTTTAGGTTTTCAAGAAACTGCCAAAGTGTTTTCTAGAATAGCCAAACCATTTTACATTTCCACCAGCCATATATATGAATGATTCAGTTTCTCTGCATCCTCACCAGCATTTGGGACTGCCATTTTTCCCCCCTAGTCTTAAATGTTTATTTATTTGTTTTGAAAGTGGGGGGGGGGTGGGGAGGAGCAGAGAGAAAGGAGAGAGAGAATCCCAAACGGGATCTCACCAATCATGAAAATCATGACCCCGAGCTGAAATCAAGAGTCTGACACTTCATTGACTGAGCCACCCAGGCGCCCCTGAAATATTTTTTATATAAGGTGCAAAATTTCGGTTGAGTGTTTTGCTTGCCTATGGATGTCCAATTACTCCAACAACATTTGCTCCATCCTTCCTTCATTGAGTTGCTTTTGAACTTTTGTTCACAATCAGTTGGACGTGTGGTGCCCCAGTGGCTCAGTTAAGTGTCTGAGTTGTTTTGGTTTAGGTTGTGATCTCATGGTTCATGGCATCGAGCCTCCAGTCTGAGCTGACAATGCAGACCGCCCTCTGTTTCTGTCCCATACTCCCACTTATGCTCTCTCTCTCTCTCTCTCAAAACAAATTTGAAACACATAAGTTGGGCATGTTTATGTGGATCGATTTTGGGAGGGTAACATGCCCTGTTGCGCTGATCTGTGTCTATCCCTCTGCTAATACCATACAGTTTTAATAGCTGTAGCCATAGAATACACACACATATATACTGTATATTGATTAATGATTAATATGTTAATAGATACATTAAGCAGGTAGACTATTTCTTCTCACTTCAGCAAGGTTGCAGAATACAAGATCAATATATAAAGATCAATTGTATTTCTATATACTAGCAATGAACACATGGCAACCAAAATTATAAATACAATGCCATTTACAATCTTTCAAAAAATGAAATACTGAGGTGTAAATCTAACAAAACACATACAGGCTTACATGCTGAGACAACAAAATGCAGCTGAAAGAAATTAAAGATCTAAATAAAAGGAGAGACATACTATGTTCATGGGTTAGAAGACGCAACATTGTAAAGATGTCAGTTATCCTCATACTGATGTATAGTTATATTCCCATCAATATATATAAAATATAAAAATATCAAAATTCCTGCAAGACTTTTTTTGTAGATATTGATGAGGTTGTTATAAAATTTATGTGGAAAGGCAGAGGAACTAGAATAGCAAGCATTGTTATTTTAACCCACTTAACACAGGTTGGACATTTCATTTTTTTGTTTTACTTTGTTTTAAATTATTTTCTTGTGATAAAATTGACATGCAGTGAAATGCACAGTTCTTAAACTCTCAATTCAATAAATGTTGCCAAGTATATAGAACCATGTAAACAAAACCCCAATCAAGACCCTATTTTCTTTTTTTTTTTTTAATTTTTTTTTCAACGTTTATTTATTTTTGGGGCAGAGAGAGACAGAGCATGAACGGGGGAGGGGCAGAGAGAGAGGGAGACACAGAATCGGAAACAGGCTCCAGGCTCTGAGCCATCAGCCCAGAACCTGACGCGGGGCTCGAACTCACGGACCGCGAGATCGTGACCTGGCTGAAGTCGGACGCTTAACCGACTGCGCCACCCAGGCG